TGGCAAAAAAAAAAAAAGAGAGAGAAGCTGAATTCCGCAGACGGTCAGCGGTGCCAGTTTAATGCAGATCGAGCGGGCCAGAGTCAGACGGTGGTGTGGTGAGGCTGGCCGTCTGTGTTGTTTTGTGCCTGTCTATCAGAGGGCCAGGGAAGCTTCCTGCCATTTTGCTGGAGAGCAGAGTTTCTTTGAAGGGACAGGAAGGCAGAGCTGCATTTCCCACAGCCTAATGTGAGCTGCTGGGCCACAACCAACTCACCTCCCTCTCGTATCATATCTCAGCGATAGGCAGACACGCACATGCTTTCAAATGCATCATTACAGACCACATATTCGCCTTTGTCGGCTGAAAAACAGTTTTCTGTTGATGTAAAAGGTCTGCAAAGCTTAAAGTTCACCCTGTAGACTTTCCTCACTACTGAAAACTCATTACCTGCCTGAAACGTCTTGTTTTCTTTCATAAATTATCTACAGCTGCATGTGGCACATTTGCATAATAACTGTTCAGCAGCGAGTTTGGCCTTCAAAGAATGAGCAGCTTTAGTAAATTGTCCAAAAAAACCAAGGTCTTTGCACTAGATTCTGTAAAAAACTAAAAATTCTGCTTCCCATGATGCAACTGTGAAGCCATGATTGACTCAGCCATGACCAACAGTCACATGACAGAAATTCAGAGAGTTTTCAGGTGTGCTACAGCTTCTGAGTAGCTTCATTTAGGGCTTTGTCTCTTAACCTGCTGGTATCCTCATAGATCTGGAGTTATGGTTTGTAATCAACGTTACTTTGCTTTAGTCGGGACAACTGACCAATCAGGAGGGCCTTAACCCTCCGAACCTCAAAAAACCTGCCAACCAGCTTGAAAAGCATGTTGTTCTTATTTAAATCACCAAAACGCCACCATTTATCACAGCCAGAAACTGTAAAAACACACAAAATATGTATGGATTTTCACATTTCCCACAGTCCTTGAACCAGTCGTGTGTCATGTACGGTTCCACCAGTAAAAAAAAAAAAAAACAACCAAATCTAAGCATTAAAGTGTAACATTTCATCAAAGTTACTTGACTCTACATGTCTCATTTAGGTAAATTGCAAAAAAAAAAAAAAAAAAAGGTGCTTGCTCCAGATTCTGCAAAAAAAAAAATTTATAAAAATAAAAATTCTGCGCTCCGTTGTGTAACTGTGAAGCCACGATTGGCTGAGCTCTGACAAACAGTCACGTGACAAAAATTCAGAGAAATTCAAAGCTTAAATTTATGTTATTTCATCAAATTGTTTACACCAGATCCTGTAAATAACAATAAATTCTGTAGTCTTTGGTGCAGCTGAGAAGCTGTTTCTGATTCTGCTGTGACCAACAGTCTTGTGGCAAAAAATCAGTGTTTAAATGTCTGTAAAAATGTAAATAGTTAATAATATTTATTTTATGTGCAGCTACCATTTCCCCCAGTACTGGTAACACTTGTGGGAAATTGGAAAATGTTTTGTAAAACAAGTCAAGAAATTCAACTTTGATATTCTTTTATATGATCTAAGGCTTTATAACCGTATCACACTGCACAAAAGGCATTTTTAAGCTCTCTACTTCCAGCCACGGCTCTTTCTATAAAGCTGCAGGACTTTATACTGCAGTGAAAATGAGCCCACAGTGAGTAAAATATGTGACAGGAACAAAACGCACCCAGAAACCGCTCGGGGTTCACAGGGTTAAAGCTAAATTTGAGCATTTCAGACAGACGGGAAGGAAGAGATGCTGCAGCAATGTACAGAATGTGAAAAATAATATGCTGCTTGAACATAGAAGCATGTAAACATATTCTAGCAGAGCCCAAAAATACAATTATGAACCTGTAAAAGTGCATAGTATGGGCTCTTTAAAAAAAAAAAAAGGCTGCCCGACACAGACACACCTAAAGCAGCTCTTTAAATTGCCCTTCCCACACATCCTCTCCTCCACAGCAGTGACAGTCGCTTCCCAGCTCACAGTAAAGCTAGAAAAAGACCTAAGAGTCGGTGCCACAGTGAGAAGCCCGTCATTTTGTGGCCTGGTTCCTTCTAATTACTGTAAGTGAGACAGGGGGCCACACAGACGGCGAGGAAAGTGATTCCTGTGTCACGCTGGAATGTTCTGCGAGCAATCCTACAGCGTGCAACTTCAAAACTATCTCTTCTGACTTTAAATTTGTCTCCGCTTTAAATATAAAGCGAGTCGGTTTGTTGCTGTGCGTAAAGTTGGGGGGGAAAGCAAAACAGAGGGGACCACAGGAGCCCAGGACCAGAATGTCTGTGTAATTACAGTCCAAGCATCGTCTCCTGTCGCGTCCCGGTGGCTGCTCGGGTTCAGTTCTTAGCTCGTGATGCTCTGCTCGCTGTCTCGGTCGATGGCGGTGCAGCAGCATCGCGTCGGCATTACCAATAAGAATCTACTGCAGAGAATTCATTCAACATCTTTCCTTGGGGGGAATTCTGCCATCACAATAACCCAAAAGCCTCAATTGTTTTTTCCTCCTCTATGGCCTGATTCCTAATAAGTCCTCTGATTAGATTCCTCTCTCGATATCAGCGGGCAGCCGTACTCACGCCATGGCGCTCAAAACAAACAGTTATTCAGCTCTGCCATTTGTTCTAAAGGTGTGGGGCTGGGAATGCAGAGGAGAGGGAGGCTGGGAAACTTCAGCTGGGCTACTGTACATATCTGAGCCTTGATGTGGCAACAATGCGTTCAGTGGAGGACGGGTGCCGCAGTGTTGGGTCACTTCCTTCCTACTGAGGCTGAGAACGAAGTGGGAGACCAGACGGGCTGAGAGGCCGCGGCCAGATACTGATTCCAGATCAGCAACTCGGTCCTGTGCGTTAGCGAGACGGGGCCGAGGCGAAGCTTGTCCTCGGCCTGTGTTTGAGGAAAGGCAACGCCGCCGAGCGTGGGAGAGGGATACCTCGGGCCCCGTGTGAGCGCCGCACAGCTCCCTGAATGGGCTCGATGGTACACAAACAACACACAAGTACACACTGGCTCGCACACAGACAGACCATCTATTAGTGTTACCTAACTGAGCACTTGAACAATGACCAGTAGCTAAACTTCCTCGCTTTGTCTGCCCGCGTATAACTTCACAAGAGCTCTCAGACTGTTCTCACACAGACACACAAATACTTGTTTTGTTTCTCACTTTTGCACACTAACGCTCTCACAAGCACATGTGCACACAGATGGGTAAAAGTAAAAAATATCGAGCGTTATAATACTCCAGTAACATTTTTGTTTCAGTAAATGAAGTAACAGTGAATGCACAACAATGTCATGCAAAAGTGTATTAAATCTCTGGACTGCAAAGGAGTTTCTGGGTATTTTTTTGTGTGGAAACAGCACAACCGGGGCTGGATGGAGAGAGAAATCTCCAATATCTTCTGTGCAATATTGAACAGTTATGAATCAATACGTAACAGTTTGAATTTGCCTACAAGTATTAACAATATTGAAAAGATTGCGGCTCTGCATGCGACAGATAATTGCATTTTTACAACTTTTACAAACTCAGTGTTTCCCACTCTACTCTGCAAATCAACTCAAAAAAGATGTTTCACAATGCTGATTGTATCGTCCAACAGCTTGCTCTTCTGTACACTGTTTCTGAGCCGTGCAGCATTAATTTTATTAATCCAGTACGCTTTAGTTTCCTCTCTCTTGTAGTTTTCTGTCTGCAGTGTAGAAACACTGCCTGCAGTTCACCTGAAAACTCAGCTGATGAGCACAGATTTTTTTTGTTTGTTTTTGTGCAGAGCCTCGACCAAACCATGTACTTTAGACCAACTGTTGCGTGAGACGTAAAATAACATCATTTTGATGAAATATCAGGCTCAGATTTGCTTGTTTTTTCTTGTCTCACATGATTAGTTCAAGAACACTTGGAAATTTGCATAATAGATATAAACAACAACATGCCTTTTAAACCCTCCGGCATGTTCTGGGGTTCAGAAAGGTCAAACTGAAACAGTCAAAGCCACTGCGGGCTTCACACACGTGTATAAAAGGACCCACGCGTCCGTTTTCTATGCCGCGTACCTCACAAAACAAAAAGCGAGCAGTCATCACAACCCGTGACACAGACAGTTTATCAGAGCTGGAAGGGTCGAGCAGGTCAGTGAGAACGGACGCGTCGTCTGTAAAAACCTAACGGCCTCCGTAACCCTGGACATCCATCAGCCATCTGAACCCTGCCAGCCAATCGCCTTCCGCTCTGTTCCAGCGAACCCTCGTCTGATAAAGCTCTGCTAAACCCACGATCGCACACGGTCCTGTATTCACACCTCAATGGAAATCACCGGTACACGTTTCTGTGAGCAAGCCTCTGCAGGAACGCTTCATCTCAAAGGCCCGGTTAGACTGTGAAGGTTTAGTAACAAGGGACCGAAAAAACAAACAAAAAAAACAACCAGCAGGCCTCTCTGAACTTGTGATCCAACCTTTTGGCAAAACTTGAATTTTTCAGCGTGTAGGTTGGCGCTCGGAGGAAGTTGCTGTTTCCCGTAGTGAAGAGGTTTTTGAAAATCATACCACATAGATAGTGCAAGGGGAGGAGAAAGCTGCATGAATGGCCAGTGGCGGGATTATAACTGCAGTCTGATGCCTGATGCTGGCAAAATAAGAGCCGACAGCGAGCAAGACCCCAAAGTGGAGGCCCAGTAGTTTTATTTAGGGTAATATTTATGACATGTTTCTGTGTGAGAGAGCCGTGCACACATCACGTTAAAGACATCAATAGGAGACTAGCCTATTTTTATGTTTGCAGAGCGGATCTGTGCACTGCTCTCACACCATGTGTCGCCACTTTTATTGATTATATCAGAAAAATAGTAAAGTTCCAGAAACAGTCTGCTTGTGTTAGATGTCCAGTGTAGCTGCCGTGATACGTTACGGCAAAGCTGCACACCTGACAGCTCAAAGTACAGCAACCACGCTCCACAGAGCAACAACAGCAACATAAGACAGAGACAGCCCTTACCAGGAATCCGTATGAAGGACCATCCGTGGCGAGGGTAAAGGGCCATCACTCCCCCGGGGGATTGTGGGTAAAAGGAATTAGCCCTCGCACGCCAATCTGAGGCGAGTTCAGGGGAGCCGTAGAGAAAACACTGCTTGAAGATGGCGCCCCCGCCGCCGCGCGTCACCCGCCACTCGTACTCGGCGCTGCGGTCGGCACAATAACGCTCCATGGGAACTGCCGTCACCTAGGAAACCAAAGACAACATTGTGAGGATGGAGAGACAGAATATTTTACCCGAAACGAGAGCTGCTAAAAATACAGCCGTTGATAAGTTTACGACAGAGATGCTGTGGATGGAGGGAAGTCGCTGCACGCAGGCTGGTTTCACTGAATCAGCAGCTTCTGCATGTGTGTTTGTGTTTGTGCGTGGAAGTGGGGGGGCGAGAGGAAGAGCTGGCCAACAACCTGAGCGAGGAGCCTTTTTTTTTTTTAGAGGCTCTGTTTGTTTTAGGTGCAGCTGGAAGTCACCGTGGTCACCCCCACACCCCAACCACACACAGTCACACTCGCACATTTCACACATCACAGCTTCTCATTGTTCCCACAAAAGGCAGCGTTCGCTTCCCTCTTCCCTCTTCCCACTTCCACGACCACCCAAACGCCCGCCTGTCTTCGCTGTCCACACAAACACACAGAGGGCCTGCAGCAGCGTCCTCCCTCGGGCCAGCCGTTGTTCTCGTACCTTGGGCGTGGCGGCGAGCAGGAACTTGGGTGGCAGTGTGGGCTGGCAGGGCCGGAGCGTGGAGGTGGAAGAGTTTCTGCTGTGGATCCTCACGTCTGTGTGTCCCAGCATGCCGGGCCTGGAGGCTGTGAACACCAAATCCTAAAAAAACCAGGCACAAAATCAGCACTGATTAAGGTCCAAACTGCACAAATAGTGAGTGTTAAAAGGTTTTAAAAAGCAGCAATTACCAAAAACATCGTCAGAGTCACTCCTGAACTCATGACCCTTTCGAATTGCGGAGATGAATGGAAACATAACCCACAAATTATAGGTAAAAACAGCAAAAATTGGCGACTCTGAGCAGAAGTAAACAAATTGGAACACACAGAGGTTACCGAGTGCGTTGCTCTCTAACACTATGTTAAGTTTCACTGGCTATACTCCTAAAAAATTACGTAACCTTTCAGCCCAATGCTTAAAATATTACGTTAAATGTATGATTACTGCAGCTTATACTCTTTGAAATGCAGATGTGACAGGATGAACGGGTTGCCTCATCGTGTAATCTTACATCTGGGCAAGACGTGGTGTGAAGCAAATGCATACATTTTTAGCAGAGCTCGCTGCTGAGGAGATAATGATAAATAATTTAAGTATAATGCAATAGTAGGTTTAAAAAAAAAAACAACATGGTGATGTGTGTGTGTTATTGTGTGTGTGGCCAGTGTGTGTCACATTGTGGGTACACAGTGCCACCTAATGGCAGACTGTCAGTCCGCCACAGATGAAAAAATATGAATTTCTGCTCTTCACTGAAAGGCCAAAATTGGTATTCTTGGCGCCAAACCCAGATAAGTTATTAGCATTTTGTAAAGTGAAGCCGTAAAAGTTTCCATCACTCCGGACAAACAGGACGGGTGTTAGTATTCTCTGTGAGTGGAAAATAAATTCAAGTTTTCAATCAACGTGTCATTAGCAAACTGTTATTCTGTGTCAGACAAATGTGTTGACAAATGCAAAAAGGTGGTATCTGCATATTAACATTGGAGTGGCGCACTGTGTGGGAGCTCAGAGCGGCCGCTTGGCTTTCAGACGTACGGAGGAAAGAGCAGAGAGCAAGACTTGCAAAACAGAAACACACAAAAACAGACACATGAGAGGTGAATGCACATACAGGACATGCTCTACATCATCCATATAAACACAAACACAGCATACATTAGCTGTATAAAGGGTTCTCCTGGATTGAATGGGCCTTTGGAGGTGACTTTGCTTGATTCATACACAATAAGCACAATGACTTTACCTTACTTTCCATGAATCAGTGGATTTTCCTGTTATTTCTGACTGTTTGATAAACAAAAATGTTCATTATCTTGAGTAAATGAAACCTCAATTTAACAAAAAAGACCAATAACTTGTGATATTTCGTCATAATTACTGTGTTCAATCAAAATACTGCCAAAATAAATAGTTTCTATCGTGAAGATTTTTGTAAAAAACTAAAAATTCTGCGTTTCTTAGGTCAACTGAAAAGCGACGGCTGTTGGGGAAGCCAACAGTCACATGACAAAAATTCAAGGATGTTTTCCAGCTGAACTGCAGGTTGTGTTTACACGTGGAGCCGCCATTTATTTTTCCAGTATTGGTAACATCTGTGGGCACTTGGAGAACTCTGGACATGCTGACTCCATTTCTTTTTATTTTTTTTTTCATTTTTGCAAGATGAATAATATAGAAATTCAACTTTTACTTTTTCTTTTATTATGATTTATGGCATAATAACTGTGTGATATTGAACAGAAGTTTGTTTTTGTTCCTGAGTTCTCTCTACTTCTGGACGGGGTTGTATAGTTTCCATAGCGGTGCAGGACTTTATATCACAGTGAAAAATGAACTGCTAGTGAAGAAATACTTGCTTGGGGTTTAGGGTGTTAACAAAAGTGGTTAATTTAATTTCTATTGTTATTCTCAGTTCTTATCATCTTAACGCTGCAGAGTTTCCTGCAGCGCTGATTAAACTCTCCTTGTGGGGGCACCAAAAATTCCTCTATGCAGGAAAAACCCTGGTACGTTATAACCTGGTTTCCGTTTCATGCTGGGACAGATACAGGCTCATACTGAGGAACAGAGAGCCCAGCTGATGCAGCACCCCACGGCTACATGGGTAAAATTCAGGGCACTCGGTACTCAGAGTTGCCTGCTTCTCTCAGTTTCTCAACAGGAGCAGCAGGAAAGCTGAAAGCAATACTGACCACGCTGTCAAGTCCACAGCCAGAGAGAGATGAGCCAAGCAGAGAGAAGTGGCACTGTGTGCCAGCTACACGCAGCTTCAAAAGAAAAATGAGGAGTCGAAAGAAGTTGGCGAAAACTGTGGGAGTGAGTAATTTCTACAAGCTCAAGTGGGAGTCTGGGGTCAGCGTGGTCATACAGCACACATAGAGCATTAGCTCTCCAGGTGTCTGCAAGTTTCAGTTTCTTGCGTCTTATATTTTTCTGCTTGTTCCTTAAGCCGCTCCAGGGGGGAACCTAAGACACCAGGCAGCTGCCTGACTCAGTGTGATGAGGCCAGGACAGGAAGAAGGGGATGGAATTACCCCACCAGCATTTGCTCTTGAGTATTTTCCACCTAACAAGTTAAGTTGGTGGAGGGTCGTAACGCGATACATATCTGGTTAACTGTTTGCTGTGTTGGTGATGCTTGTTAGCGAAGCAGAACGACTGAAACACTGAGTGGAGTATCTGCAGGCTGCTGCTGTTTTGAGGAGGTCTCTATAGTTGAACTGGCTCCTACACATTGTACTGTCTCTTTCCTACCAACAATTTGATTTGCATACTGCCAAACAATAAATTAATAAGACAGAGGAAATATGTGCCGTCTCAGCGTAACCCTGCAGCTTCCAGCTGCAGAACCCAACACACAGAACTTCAAGTGCAGCTGAAAAGAGTTGTGGTGCACCACACTCATCCCCTGAGACACCTAGCCGACAAACACCACAGACTGCTCAGCTACGAGAATAGTTTCATGGAAAACAATGTGCCACTTGGTTCCAAATCTTACAGCCTGCCATAAACCACCAGCAACACACTGGTGCCATATACAAATCCACACCAACTTCTGCGAACAACATTCTCAAAGCCAGCTTCTCTTTCAGCAATAAAGTCTGTTGAAAGAGCGGCGGCCAGTCAAACTGCTTTCACACCACCCGAGAAACAAACAGGAGCCGCTTACTATGATTCCATACATGGCAGAAAAAGACCAAAACAGCATTAAAATACTAAACCTGCTCTCCATATTAATATCAGAAAGGTGGGCCTTTGTCTCCTTTAAATCAAACACTTCTGTTTTTCTTTATCTCCAAAATTAGTTCAATGGTTCCTGGAGCTGTCCTCAGCACATCTGACAGTACAGTGCAGATAGACACAGGCCTCAGAGACATAAACTGGGAGGGAAGTGAGCGTTATTGGGTCACAGGGATACAGAAGGATTAAGTTCCCCGCTGTATCCCAGAGGAGGCAGAGGAAGCCTGGGGCAGAGAGCACGATGTGTGGCCAAACACTGCCTGATGCTCAGGGGAAAGTTTCAGCCCTGTCAGCAGCACATGTCTCCCTGCTGCTGTTTCTGTCACGCGTTAAGCTGCAGATGGCTGCTCAAGATCTCCTCGTGCGCAGTTTGCGGTCCGCGAGTGTTTCTTACCTGCAGGACAGGGCTGGTGTGTGTGTTGGGGAAGGCGATGGGTCTGTTCAGCCACAGAATCAGGTCCTTACGAGACAGACATTTAATCTGGGGCTGTAGCGTCCCGTCTCTGGCTTCGTCGTGACCTTCTTCTTCTTCAAGGTTGAACAGGCGCTGAGTGTGGAGCCGGTACGCAGCTTTCAGGGACAGAAAAAGTGCTAACCATCTGTAGAGGACAGGAAAAGGAAGACCTAATTAGCAAAAATATGTTGTAGAGAAGTACTTGATAAAGATTTTTGCCATTTTTAATGATTCACCAGCAGATTGAAAAGTCTTTTTTTTCCAAACAAACACAGAAATTACACAATTTATCATCGTGAGAAACTGTAAAAACAGAAAGAACTGTCAGATTTTCAACTTTCTGAAAGCCCTAATCATGTGTCACAAACGATTCTGCCAAGAAACTCAAACTCAAATCTGAAAATCGTGATGTTTTTTTTAATCAAAATTCTCCAAAAATAAACAGTTTGCATTAGATCGTGTAAAAAAACAACAACAGAGAGGAAACGGCAAGTGAGACTGAGAGGAAAATAAAACCTACTGGATCAATAAAATAAATGCAGCATGGCTCAGAAACAGCAGAGACAGGAGCAAGTTGGTGGAAGACTCATCCAGCATGGTGGAACGTGTTCCTACAGTCCAAGTACAGAACTAAGTTTGTAGAGGCTGAAAAAATGTAAATTATCTACAGCATGTGGAGCCACCATTTTCCCCAGAGTTGGTAACATCTGTTGGGAAATATGTTGTAAATATCAGTTTCAGTTTCAGTAATTCTATTATGTCGCATAAAAAACCCAAAACATTTCTGAGTCCTCTCTACTCCTAGCCATGTTTGTGCTGTTTCCATAGAGGTGCAGGACTTTATATCGCAGTGAAAAACGAGCCCACAGTGAGTCAAAATGTGACAGTTCAGAGGGACAAACTTCCCTTTCTATCGAGGGAGGACACCTCCACAGCTGCTCATGTTTGACCAAGAGACACAACGAACAGTGTGGCGTCTGATCATCTCGTTGAGAAGCAGCGTCTTGACCCACATCGTTTTATTTCTTTCAGAGACGAAGACGGTGAAATGAAAGCTCGACACCCACCTCACTAAGGTGCCCTGCAGCATAAGGTTGGACATCTCAGCTGGTGACACGTCAATAAAGCGCAAGAAGGAGAAACAGCTTCCTTTGTCGTCACCTGGAACCGTAAAAACAGAAGAACAGAATGAACACTGACAGAGAGAAAACATCGAAACAAACAGCAACAACAGGAAGAAATGAGACGAAGCTGAGGCGTGAATGTCAGACGAGAAGACCTGGTTCTGGCAGGAGCTCTGGGTATTCTGGGATCAAAATGTATTAAGTGCTCACCTTTCCTGTGAAAAAGAGACTGCTGGATGTGATCCGGAGAGAAAGGAGACAACAGCACCTGAAGTAATCTGAGGAGGACGCAGAGAGCAAAAGGCAAGGTTACGCCACAAGATGTGAGGAACAGTTAAACTGAATGTGGGAATGTGGGTCATCTGATTCCAGTTCTACCCACAACATTCCTCCGTTTACAGCTGTAATTGGGATAATAGCCTTCTGTGAGTCCCAAATCAGCAATTGTGTGCAAGGACGACGATTTGCTGAGAAATTATGACACATTTAACGGTGTTTGCACAGCAATTTCAAATATCTACTCAAAACACGGTGAGTAGGGATGGCGATGGAGCTGCTTTTATTGGATTTGGGAGTGCATTTGTGAGGATCGAGTGTGTCTGAGAAAGTTTCTGTGCGGGGGAACCTACTTGTTCTTGGCCGGGTTGTGTGCGTGGACGAGGCCGTGACGGTAGAGGAACTTGGACAGGATGTAGGGTTTGAGGAACATGTGGAAAGGAGAACGTGTCTCCTGACGCTCAAACAGGTCGGGGTGGTTGCACACCTGCACGAAAAACACACCGCTTTAAATAAAAGATAAAATGTGCACAGAAAGCATTTTGCTCGTTTGTTTCATAACTAAAGGATCAATATTAAAGTTAGTTTTTTAAATCCACTCTTTGCAGCTGTAATCATTACTGTTTTAGCAGCGGACACCAAATGGGCAGCAGCTCGTACCTTCCTGAACTGCATGACGAGGTTCATGAGCGAGGACGTGGTGCTGTGGGCCTGCTGAGCCGTGCCCATGGAGGACTGCAGCAGGTCCTCGATGGAGATCTTGTTCCTCAGCGCCTGGTAGAGCAGCCGCTGCCGGGACGTCAGCTGGCAGTAGGTCAGGATCTCAATCTGCAGACGAGAGCAGAGCAAGAACGAGTTAATAAAACTACTAAAGCAACGGCAACGCTATTATCCTGTTTTCTTTGGTTGAGCAAAGCCAAGAAAAGGACGGACCTACAGGGAAGTTTCTGTATGCGTTTACACACTATTGGAAAAAAACCTGACATTGTGATATCTTGTTTTTTGGCTACAACTACTGCAATATCCAAAGAAGTACAGGAGTTTTCACCAGCTGATTTGATTAAGTCTATTTGTACAGAGTTAATCATTCTCCAATGATCGGGGTGATTCTGCATCTGCACTTATTTTTATTTTTTGGATCGTTTAATTTTTTCTTTTTCCTTCGGATGACAGTCAGATCTGGCTTTGCTCTCGTCGTGCAGAGCTTCGTGCTGCTGGTTTAAATTAAACTAATTAATTGCATTTCCTCGTGAGCAGGCGACGGCTGCAAGACGCTGCAGACGGTAGCTGTTTTTAGGAAACATCACAGTTTCTGGAGCCAAAATATTTCTGTTCTGCGTTATGCTCCTCCTCGCTCGTTCTGCTGTGCACATGTGCAGCCTGCATGTCAGCAAACTCCAAAGTTATAAACCATAATAAAGAACAAAACCTCAGTGTATCCAAGAGGGCTCAAATCAACGTGAGTGATCAGACAAACTTTTCTTGTAAATCAATCACTGAAAATGAAAATATTCTTTTTGTATCAAGCAGCAAATATAACTGCAGCCTGATATGTCATTTAATGTGCAGCACATTTGCACATTGCAGTGTTAAAGCTAATGGATATATTATGCAGCCCTGTATCTGCATGTGTAGTTCAAGTCAAAATCTCCTGTTTTTTTATTGAGTCCGCACTCCTCTTATGCCCAACTGTCACGGCCCCAGAGCCTCTGTCTTGTGTGTGTTTTCACATAGGCTTAACCAAAAATTAATTTATGGGTGCGAACTTCATGCCCAGCTTGACCAACATTCTTCAAACACACATCAACGTATTTGGTTTTATCTGGTGCCACGCTTTGATGAAAGCAGCGAGCGATCCATAAAAACCAACCGTGAACCGCGAGTGAACTTCACCGGCTCGCATTGGCGTCAGCGCGCTGACAAAACAAGAGCAAAACCAACGAGAGCGCAGAAGTAAAAGGAAGTGGGCTGGCAGGGCCGCTTCATGTGGGTGCAGAGGAAAGTGAAAAAGACAGATGTGGGGGAGTGGTGAACTCTGCCATTCCTCTGACTCTGTGCATCGAGACTCCCACAGTGGATGAGTGAGTATGTGTGCGCCGCCTGTGACAGCAGGAGACCCCGAGTCCAACATCTGTCAGGAGGATCTGCCAGCACGAGCATCACTCTCGGGCTTATTACAACACGTTGTGTGTGAATGAGGTGCTCCGACGAAGGGACGGCGCAGATTTAACCAAGAGAAGTTTGTCTACTTGTTGACAACATGCGACGCTGCATTATTAAGTGAGAATTGTCACATAAAATAAAAATCAGACAAACTTTTTCAGCACAAACTTGTACTGTAATTCTTCTTCCTACATTAAGTAGTGAGATTTTATATGCCTGATCTAAATTCCTTCTTGTGCCGAGCTCAGACTGCAGGAGTTTTGGGGCGACGTATCCCCATTTCACCTCACAGTCACAGGAGAAATCTGGTCTGGGATCTTGGTCTGAACCGAAGTTTGGAACAGATTATTTTAATATTTGGTAATTTGAGGGGTTTTACAGATCCAGTCTGAAACCTCCGAACCCCAAAACCCGCTGGTGGGTTTGAAAAGCATTTTTATTAATAAATATATATATAAAACTACACAATTTATCAGAGACAGAAACCGTAAAAACAGGACAAATAGTCTGAACTTTCCAACAGTCCGTGAAAGCATTGTGTGTGTGATGAGCGGTTCCATCAGAAAAATCGACCAAATCTAACCTCAAAATCTTTATATTTCATAAAAATCGCTTTTGTCTCATTGTAAAAATCGCCATAAATAAACTCTTTCCACCATATTGTATAAAACCCAAAAGATTCTGCACTCCTCGGTGCAACTGAGAAGCCACGACTGACTCAGGTGTGACCAACAGTCATGTCATAAAACTTTCGGCTGAACTGCAGGCAGTGTTTACACAGGGCAGAGAGGAGAAGAGTACGGAGGCACATTACAGTAGCTGAGAGGAAAATAATCATATTTCATGAATAACATAAATGCAGCATGGCTCAAAAATGGCATGCACAGATGAAAGTTGTTGGAAGATACCTTCAGCTTGGTGAAATGTGTTGGCTGAGGTGGTGCTCTGCTCCCTGAATTCTGTATTTGCCTCAATAATCTTTATAACAACCTGCAGGGTGTGCATGTCTTAGATCACAGAGAAGAAAATCTGTCAAATTATTTTAAAACCCCTGTGTTCAGAGCCTCAAGGCATCAAGGACATAAATGGACCATGAAAAACTGAAAGCTGTGAACGGCTACGGCCTCGTGTTTAAAGTTTGTTCCACTTCAATATACATCTCTGGACACGAGGATCGGTTCAGCAAATACCTTGTCTGAGAGCTCGTTTTCCACGTCCTTCTTGATCCTGCGCAGCATGAAAGGCTTCAGGATCATGTGCAATCTGGAGAGCTGGTCTGAAAAACAAACAATCACGTTTAGCTACAGAACAAATCACACGCAGCGACGAGCGGGAATAAAAGATCTGCGTCGGCACACAAATTACGTAATTTCTGAACAAACAAGTTGAAAAATATCATGTTCCGTCAGCTGGAAAACGGGGAGGAAAAAAATGCAGCCGAGAGAAACATTTCTGTTGCACTCACTCTCGTCGATGGCAGACTTGTTTTCAGCGTGGCTCTCGATGTCCTTGGAGAACCACTCGTTAAACTCTTCATGGGAATCAAACAATGTGGGCATGATGAAGTGCAGCAGGGCCCACAGCTGAGAGACAGTAATAACACGAGGTTGTTAACAGTTGTGATTCGCACACACACACACGCACACACACACTTGCCAACACTCACAAATGGCGCTCACCTCAGCCATTGTGTTCTGGATGGGCGTCCCGGTGAGCAGGAGTCTGTTTCGACACTGGAACTGCAGCAGGATTTTCCACCGGACGCTGAAAACGAACAGAAAATGAGATTCAGATCTGGTATAACGAGCATTTATTATCTATTATTTAGTGCAAAATAATCCAACCAGCCACTGACCCGTGTGTGACCTTTTCCAAGACTAAAGCTTTTTCAAAACATTTCCGAAGTGAATTTGCACACAGTCACGCAGCTGCAGAGGCCGACTGCAGGTTTTTTTCCGCACTTTGTTATTGATTTCCTTAACGATTTAAAGAGCCGTGTCCTTGTTCTGCATATTTTTACTGATTTATTACAAACTGTGTTCACTTATCATGTCTGAAAACACTTTTCCCAAGCATACTGCGCCTAAGAAAAGAAAATGTTTTTCCAAACTCTGAGGAAACTACGGGATTCAGCTTGCAGTGACTAGAACAATGCCAAAGATAAGTTAGTAAAATAGTTAAAGGCTCTGGTAATAGTATCCAAAGCATCCTAAATGGTGCATGTATCTGCAGTCTTTAATCTATAAAACGATGAGAATGCAAACTATGGCATGTGTTTGGGATATTTAATTACTAATCTTCTTACAGTCTCTACACTATTCTTCACATTGCTCTGCTCATCGGCTGCAGAACGATGTTTCACCATGCTGAATGTGTCTGCCAACAACTGGCTCCTCTGTTCACCATTTCAGAGCCATGCTGCATTTATTTTACGTTTAGTTTTCCTCTCCTTCTTCTCAGTGGAAACACCGCCTGCAGCTCACCTGAAAACTCTCAGACTTTTAGTCACGTGACTGTTGGTCACAGCGGAGTCAGAAATCGCTTCGCTGTCGCTCTGAGCAGCACCAAAGGTTTAGATTTTATAAAATCTGGTGCAAACGATCTATTTTATGGTGAGTCTTTTAATGAAACGTGTACAATAAATTACTTTGGTTAAACATGATCAGATTTGGTAAATGTTTCAGATAAAATCATTTGTCACACACGACACATTCAGGGACGGTTAAAAAGCAGGAAATCTGATAATTATTCTGTTTTTACAGTTTTCTCCTCTAATAAATGATGTAATTCGAGTGATTTATTTATTTTTTTTTTTTTACTGAAAACATGCAGATTAGACTGTTGCTGTTTCAAAAAAACGGTGCAGATCTATAAAGACTCCTCTTCACTTGCTGCAGCTGAAGCACACCAGCTCACCTATAACTCTCTTCAAACACTGTGAAGCTGCTCTCCACTACACAAGTTGTAACGCTGGAGTGAGTCAGCAGCACATTTTCAAACTGGCAACCGATTCTGAAAAACAAGGCCACAGACAGCTCCACCCTGCAAGCTGACAGGATCGGTTTTATAGGTCTGTATGAAATCCTGGAAGTCTGAGTCTGTGTTTTTGAGACAGTTGCTGCTACGCCTTTCATTGTGGAAAAGCTCTGCGACAGATCTGATTGCTTGTTTCACTCATAATGTCTCTTCTAGCAGATAAAAAAACATCATATGGAAAAAAAAAAGCTTTACCTGGTGCTGCTTTTCAGTGCCTGGGCCTCATCCAGCACCATGTACTGCCACTTGACCCTCTGGAAGTATTTGACATCTTGGACCACCAGCTGGTAGCTCGTGATCACCACGTGGAATGGTGCATTTTGTGTGTAAAGGGTTTTCTAAAGAAAGAAGATATCCGTAATAATAAATACCAGTGCAGCTTTTAATAACCAGACCAGACATCTTCAGAAATCATTTCATCTTTACCTGGCTCCAAAATTTGCGAATCACTTTGCGATCATGAGGGTTTCCCCAGTACGGCAACACCTGAAGGACATACGATTAATGTTAATGACAAACACAAATGTACGTATAGCACAAGGATCCCTGTGTGAAACTTCTCCATCCAACCTACTTTTCCAAAACCTCTACAGTCACACTGGGTAAGGCAAGAACAACAGAGCCACGGTGATGTTCTCAGAGGAAACACAGCATCACACATGAATCACTGCAGCATTTGTTGATGTGGAATGTGATGTGAAAAGATTTACACATCATTGCATCACTCCACACGAGCTGGCTCTCCATTGTTTTCAGTCAGTCTTGCTTTGAGTGCTCAGGAAGCTTATCTTCAAATTGTGTAATAGGGTCTTTTCACACCTCATTAGCAGAACAAACTGGAAACTGATTTATTTTCCAAACTAGCTGAGAAAGTGGGCACAGCTGAATGTTGAGCACAACAAAGAGTTATGCATATTATAGTGTGTGTGTGTGCAGTCGAGCGTGGCTGACATATTGATGTGTTTGACAAATGATTTTTAGCCTGTCAAAGGCCAGTTAAGGCATGCAGACGGATTTTTGGAGAACAGCAACAAACTAGAAACAGCTTTGCAGTCGTGCATAAGCAATGCAACAATACTGCCCCCTAGTGGACAGTTCTAGACTGGTTTAATGTCTACACACGGCCTCTCAGACAGCATTTCTCCCAAAACTACAAGCTCTGGGTTAAAAATATGACAAACAATAGGAGCGAAGGTGAGGGGATTCCTTTGGACATGCTTTTGCAGATGTTTCCGCTGTTTTTGGATTCTCACCTTGAATTTGGGCACAAAGCGGGTGAACTCCTGATGCCAGTTGTTGAGCGTGGACGCCGGAGAGATGATGAGAAACGGACCCCAGATGTTGTCTCTCTACGCGGGAACAGAAACAGAGAATTCACCGTCAGCCGCTGCGACAGGTGGCGGCTGCATGTGTGAGCGACACCCAATAACAGGAAGGCCCGGCGGAGCTCGGCCGCGCTGTCAGCGACAGTCAACTGAAAAGATCACATTTCCCCTGAATTCCACTTTTTCCCCCCTTTGGAGTTAAGATAGCTACAGTGCTGGCAAATCATCTATTTGCAGCAATGAAAGCAGCCCAGTGAAATGTTCCAGCACCTGCAAAAAGCACAGCCAGAGACGCTTGAAAGGATGCAGGTGCACAGAGAAGCTGCCTAATAGATGTTTTGTTCCCGAGTCAAAAACAATAGTCGAGACTGCAGAACATTCCACCAAGGGGTTTTTGGAAGTGTGTGAAACCCTCTGACCCGGTTCCCTCTCTCACCTCTGCCAGGTGTGCCAGCAGGGCGATGCTCTGAACCGTCTTCCCCAGTCCCATTTCGTCTGCCAGGATTCCATTGATTCCCTGCAGAAACAAGAAGAGAAAACAAAGGAAGAAAAATGAATCATCTGAGGTGCACCAACGAGCATAAAGTGTTACTGAACCGCTGAAAGGCCAAAAAACACAGAGCAATTATTTTAAAACTAAAAAAGACATTTAAAACTGTGTGTTTTGATTGATGCTGGAAACACGGATGCAATCCAAAAACGGTTCTAATGAGCACGAGCATCGTGTTGTTAGTTCTTCACCATTAATTCTTGAACTCCTCTCATCCAAACATTAACTTCTTGAGCAATTTATACATCTAGATGCAATAAAGTGAACATGTACATCACAGTCATGTTCGTGCAGCACGTGCAGGCATCAACTTGTGCACCATTTCTTTATTTATCAGTTAAATATACTGTAAAACGGGCTACTGTGGCTCTGATGCAGCCGCCTCCATCTGTGGTCACCGATCTGTGTCACTCACCAGTAACATTATTTGATGAAGCACCAACCTATCAACACTAAGGGCTAAATGTTGACAACTTCTCTTTTAATTAAACACCTGCTTGTGTTGCATTTTTCTAAATTTTGACACCAACATTTTTATTTTTTACTGCAGACGTATACCGGTTCCAAATATTAGTTATAAATCTCCTTGACTGTATATAAATGGTCTTTCACAACCACATCAGCTGACGCCTACGCTCCATCCACCCAAGTTACCAGATCTGCTTCTCTGCAGCTTCTTTTCCCCCCAAAATGAAATTCAAGTTGAAGGTCACTGTTCTGACACAGTTTAGAAGATGAACAAGAAGAAAACGTTTCCGTAAGTGTTGCAGGAGCACAAGGAGCAGAGCACCACTGCGCAAAAACACTCATTTAAATCAGGCACAGTTTTAGATTTTTCTCTTTTTGGATCGCAGACAGACGTGGTTACCTGTTCGTAGAGGTTGGCCAGCCAGTTCATGCCTTTGAGCTGGTAACCCTTCAGCTTCCCATTGAAGATGGTGGGCTGTGGAATCTCTTCCCCCGCGTGGATGGATGGATTGGAAAGGCTGTAACTTTCTCCGAACCCAGAGCCGATGCCCGAGGACAAGCCAACGGCAGCGTGTAGAGACGCACTGCGGCTGTCTTTAGCCTCTTCGTCAAACATTCGCGTCTACGGGGAAACGTGAGGAGAGGACACACAGTACAGGTGAGATGGTGTATAGAAGGAGTGTAAGTGCATCACTGTGGGTGTGTATCATTAACTTACTCTCTCCTGGTGAATCTGGTAGGCCTCTTTGGCGTTCCTCAAGGCCTGAGATTTGTAATATTCACTATCTGCAATCACAAATATTCATGTTGTAATTTAAACAGATAGACATATATTCAAACTGACACTTTTTTCCGATATATAAGTATACTGACAGCAAAGTCTATAACAAAGTATTACCAGGTGTTTCTTATGTAATCAGGTGAATGAAATGAACTGTAGAATGAAAGCGAGAGTGAACAGTAGATTGTACTTGATAGTTATAAACGATTTGTTGGTGGAAAACGACAACATTTTACACTTAATTTGACATAATTCCTCAATAATTTCTCAAATTTAGTCTTTTTTTTGTGTCATATTCCAATGTCAGTCATTAAAACTGAGCTTGATGAAGTGGTTCATACCATAGTCCTCCTGCCCCATGTTGACCATCACTCCTCCTCCGATGTCTATCTGTCTCTGGGCTGCAGTGTCTTCAAGCTTCCTCAGAATCTCCTCCTGAGCTGCGTCTCCTCCTGGACCCCCCACGCTGGCTTTGCCGCTCATAAAGTGAGCGTACAGCTCCGTCTGGGTGATGAGGAAGTTCAGTTTCCGCTGCTGACGCTTGGCCTGTAAAACACAGAGACCCACAGAGATGATGTATCACCACTTTGGGTTTTCAAAGCGTAATACGACATGAACGTCCTCGTCGCCGACCTCTCTCATCTCTTCGTCTAGTTTACGCTGCTCCAGGGCTTCCTTCTCAGCCCTCTTCCGGTGCTCCTTCTCCACTTTGTCGTACTTCTTCCAGTAGAGCATCATCTCCTTGGTGAGGCGTCTGGCACGAGGTAGCGTCTCCTTGCAGTTCTTCTGAGCCTGAATGGCTGCACGCCGGACCTCTCGCATGCACTGGTGAGCCAGCTGCAGCCAACAGAACAGATGGTAAATGTTGTAACTTTCAAACACAATGTACACCAAAAAATTCAGACCAGATGTTGAAAGCCTGAATGATACAGAACTGAATTATAGAGTGAGATCATTAAACTGTTTTTCATCAGTTCTGTGTTCAGGATTTTTGGGGGGCTCGATGACAACCCAAAATTAGCAACAGCTCTTCCCCAAACAGTATAAAAAGTAGAGGCATCAGTGACAGTGGTTTCTCCACTTGGCCGTGAGTTCCTCCGTCCACTACAGCCTAGATGTTGCTCGCTAGCTGTGCAAATGCTTTGTCCTCAGATGGTAGGATTTGCAGAGCAGCTCAGTCTCACGTCTGAATTTCCTCTGAATGATGATGTGAACAAGAGGTGGGCTGATTGTGTGATGAGGCATTAATGGAAAATCAGATCCATTTGCACAGTTAGTACGGTTTATTTGATTTGTTGTGAATATGTTTATGTTTTTACCATTTTCACCTAATTCTATAGACTTGTCAGTTTTTTTCTATCATGCAAATTTGTCAATGACACTCTTTTCTGTGGCGTAACAAACTCAAACACATGCTTTCTGCTGCTTTGCATGGACTTTAAGCTACACTTTGCTTAATACAGAAATGAGGAGTTTGTGCGAAGAAGTCAAGCATCAACGGGAAAAAAAAATCACTTACCTTCTTAGCATTGGTTAAAACTAGGTTCTTAGCAGAAGTCTTCTGCTTGAACGACTGCAAAAAAGCATAAACAGGACAATTAGGACCAAAAAAAAATGAAGAAAATGGTCCAACCCTCCTGAAGAACATTAATAATTAACAGTAAGTGCACAGGCATGACGTTGTGTCCTTGTCTTTGTGCACACTGACCTTGGGGATTTCCTTTTTGGCGATGGTGAGCCAGACCTTCCGCCGCCGTGCATTCAGCTGCTCAATGGTGAGGTGCTTCTTCTTCACCATGGGCAGCGGAGCATCGTGGGAAAATTTAGCGAAGATCTTGGTGACATAAGGACGCTCCTCGTCCAGGAATTCTCCCTCTCCACGCTTCTTCTTCTTCTTTACTTTTTTCAGTTTGGCTGAAAGAGAAAAGTCAGTCATTGAGAAAAAATCCTTTTCTCCTATTTTGCAAACAGTGAGAAGCATCACTTTGCTTCTTACCCTTAAATTTCTTCTCATCTTTAATTTTCTTTTTCTTTGGGCCCAGCAGGTGACGCTGTTGCTCATAAAAGGGGTCATGAGTCGACAGGAGTCCAGTGCTGTAGTACTGATACTGGTGAAGCTGCAGAGAAGATGGCGCGACAAAAACACGCGTGTCAAAAGTATTCTAGGCATTCTAGCTGGCGCTGCATTTATTTATCCGTTTGTCTGTACCTCCCGGTCGGAGTAGAACTTGCTCTGATGCTGCCTGGTGTACCGGTGCAGCCTCAGCATGTCGTGCAGCTCCTCCCGAGACAATGTGAAGTTTGCGTCATCAGAATCCGTGTCCGAGTCCGTGGTGTCATCACTCAACAGGATGCTCTGCAGGAGACGGAGGAGGAAGGTGGTAAACGAAAGCAGAAGTTGTGTGAGTGTAAGACAGAAAAGTAAAAGGCAGCAAAATGGTCCAAACGAGACAAATTCACTGGTTGTCTGTTGAACCTGTTAATGAAAGTGTGTTGATATAAATACCTTGAGCCATTTCCTGTTCTTCTTCAGCTTGGAGAAATTGTAGAGACTCGTTTTATCTGCCTTTTGGTCTGCAGAATTTAAAAGGGAAAAATGAACATGCATGAATGAGATGCTCCACAGTGAAGGTGAGCATGTGCAGCAACATGTCAGTAACAGACAGCTTTTGGTTTTGGTTTCTGCCTCTTCCTTTGCAGCTCTTGGTGGAGCCACACTGTGTTTACTTCTTCAGGCCGAGCAGCTGTTTTGTTGCTGCTGTCTTACTGTGTCACTCATGTTAAGGTGTATACTAAGAAATATTGCTCAACCTCCTGCACACATCGCTCATATCTAAGAAATATAAGAAATATAGCTCATAGCTGCAACACGGAGAACCAACATGTTATTGTCCAAAACAATAATATGAAATGTGTTGATTCTCAGAGGGTCAGGTGGGAGGCACTGATTCATTCTTCATGGAATGACCCATCTGTTGTCTTTACATATACAGCTTATTCACAAAATAATGGTGACTCAGCGAATGTTTTCAGCCACCTGGTGCAGATTTTTTTATTCTGAGGTTCAAAGCATCGTATTTAAAACAGAATTATCTGCTTGTGTGTAACTTTATGACTTTTCTTAACCCACCGAGATAAAAATCTGAACAAAAGCACTGATGTTGACGACTGGTTGTGCAGACAGGTGGTCTAATAAGTCCCAGCAAATGGAAGCGTTTCTTACCTTTCCCTTGCACAAGAACTCCGTTAAGAGGCTTTCCGTCTGCCAGCCCGTCACCTTGCTCACACGGCTCAGTCTTCACTGTCAGAGCTGCATGTTGAGCTGAGGAGTCCAGCGACAGTCCCGTCCCCAGCGCGCCATCGCTGTCGTCGCTATCATCACTACAGTCAGAGATATATGCAGCTGTAAGCACACCATCTAGTTTTCTTCTTTGATATGTGTGTAGCAGTAAACGTCAAACGGGAAGTCAGTGTAGCAACTGTACAGATGACAGGAAGGGAAAAACAGCAATGCAAACAGCAAAGTGCTTTATCTAGATAGGATGGAAGATTGCTGCAGTTGGTGCCCAGAAACAAACTTGACCTGAAGAGCAATAAGAGTAAGCCCACATCCACCTCCTGCCTGTCTCTACCTGGTTATGTCTCTGTTGAAGACAGCAGCAGTCTGGCGCAGAAAACTGCCCAACTTCAGGGATCTCTCTAAGCGCTGCAGGTAGAGAGGTTTGGCCAGGCCAGAGGTCCCCGATGCCCCAACCTCCAGCCGGCCGCCCTGCCCCGACGCCATGCAGCCCAGACACGTCTGCCCAGCAGGGCAGGACCTTTTACTGGAGAGAGAAACAGAAAGAGAAGGAGGCTCCACATCAGAGTCAGCAGTACAGAAAAGTATGGGGTAACAAATACACCGTTTTTAATGTTAATAAACAAAATCATGGCAGGAAGTGGAGATATGAAGGTTCATACTGCTCAGAGGACTGTAGACGGAGATTTTCATCAGTAGTTACTAGTATTTGATAGGGGGGATACTCTCCTCCTACCCCTAAACCAAACCTTTCAATTCCTACCGACGCCTTAAATTCTGTCACAGGAACAACTCTTCAATAATGTTTTGGCAGATTTGTGGCAAACTTTGCAGCAAGCACATTAGTTAGCTGAAAAAATGTTATTGCAAGTCAACCAGCTTTAGTTTTGGCAAACTTCCGGCCACATCTGCTATTTGCCAAGATTCCCATTAGTGGCAAACATTTCAGCTAATGTTTGCCGCAGACAGCATTTCTGCCACTAATGGTTTTATTCAGAGGTTCCCGTGCTTCTGGCACACAGCTGGAGGTAACCTTGAGAATTTCTGACAGGACTGCCACAGAAATATTTGCCAGAATCACATAAAATGAAGAGTTCATTTGCAAAAACAGATAACTCCATCATAAAAGTCAAGTGCCATTATTTTCTAAACAAAGTTATACAGAACTCCACCACCCATCTGCACATAAAACAGCCGTTTACTCTATAACACAGAGCTACTTCTCACCAACAGCTAAGCAGGCAGAACGATATAACTCACATTCCAGTCAGCAGAATTGTACACACTGAACCTACCTTCTCGATAAGAGCTGACATTGTTCTTGATTCCAAGAATAATGGTCAAAAAAAAGGGTGAAAAACCCTAAAAAAGAAGAAGAAACTCAGTCAGTTTGTTAATATGTAAATGACAATAATATTTAGTATTCAGTACTAAAACATTATTGTTGGGGAAAATATCTTACTGCAAGTTTTTGACAGATATTGCAATATAATATTTAAAAGAGGCAGATTTAAAACGTAATGGAGCATCGTCACATGACAAACCATCATTGTATCAACCGCTCTACAGTCGAATGCAAAGGTGAGAATTTAGAGACATAAACGGCTTCAAATGTGTATTTTTCTTACATCTGGTAAATGGCACAGAAGGTAGAAGAATTAATCAGAAAGCTGTGACTCTGTAGACTTAAAGTATTAATAATAACTAAATAATAATTCCAAATAGAAACTAATCGGGTCTTTCTTTAAACACTTTTTTTCAACTCATGGCTCAGGAGCAGCATCTAAATATTGCACATTCTGCTATTAATTTAATGAAGTTTGTCAATACTGAGTTGAACATTTATATCCTAAACTGCAGTATTTGGAATCTACACTTTGCACTGTGTCACTCTGTGGTTTGTAATCGATTACCTGTTCAGCACAACTGACTGCTGTGGATGAGTATTACTTATTGTGTCATAAGAACAACACGAGCGCTTTAAAAACCAAACACTGCATTCCATGAAACACTCACACGTTGTTCACCAATGTCACAGAAATGTACAAAAATAAGGAAAAGGCGACTTTTTGAAGACTACCGAGTAGGTCTCAACAATTAATGAAATTCACAGAATGTCTAAGTGCAGAATCCACAGCACAGGAGCTGTTTTTTGGGGGTTTTTGAGATGAGGGAAACGAACAACATACTATCACAAATGAAGCATTGTGGTGCTACAGAGACGCTCCAGCCTACAAACGGTATTCTCATAAAGGAACATGTTCACTTCGTAAACAACCGCAGCAAAATCACCACATCACTTTTTTCATACTTGTCTCAGTGGGAAAAAAAAATAAAGAACGACCGACTTCTTCTAAAACCTGGATTTATCTCATATCATTTGCTAAAATAACTGCAACACAGCTTTGTTTTGTGCATGTCGTTCAGCCCGACTACTGCGTATTTAAACTGCAAACTTTGTTTTTAGTGCAAATATTTAATTAAGGAATTTTTATCGAGTGGCTCACGTCTAAGAGTTTTCCTAATTTCTCATTCTTTTTGCATCACACACAGTAAAATATTAGTGTTTTCGGCTAATCAGAATTTATTTAGGGAGAGACAGTTTGATTTAACCGACTGCCCTGACTATAGAGTGTTATTACACAGTCATGATTAGTTGCTTAGTTTCAGCTATTAAATTAATCATTTTCAAAAGCAGCTGAAACAATTTTTGACTAAGTAAAAATTAAAAATGGTCTCACTCTAGCTTCTTAAATGTGAATCTTTGAAGGTTTCATTTGTCCTCTGTGACAGTAAACAGAATATTTTGGGGTTGTGGACAGAAAAAAGACATTTGTCATGTTGGGTTATGGGATGGTTTTCACCATTTTCTGACATTTTATAGGGCAAAAAAATAATACAGAAAATCCCTCCTGATTAAAATAAAAGTTAGTTGCAGCCCTAACCTATAGCGTACACATCTGCTTACATTTTATTGTGTAAATGCTTCTTTAAGAGACATTTCAAACAGTTGCCCTTATCCCACATTCTTGTTTGCATCACACAAAAAAGAAATGTTGAGCTATGACAGGACATATTATATTTATATAAAGCTTTTTACTTTCAGAAATGGCTCAATTTAAAGATAGTCTAATTTCACCAATTGTATAAGCTGTTGTTGTACAGTCATTTCATTGTGTACAAGTGTACAGGTGGTTGTTTAGACACTGTTAATTAACTGTAAACTTGAATCACAGTAATTACTATTAAATACTCGTTATATACTCATTTAATGTCTTTAAAGACTTTACTGCCTAACGTTTGAGAGTAACATTAGTTTAACCCTATTTCTAAAATGAAGAAATACTGAGCCTTTTGTTATTTAATACAGCATTTAATTTCCTTTTGCTCCTTCGTCCTCATGTTATGGTTTGCTAGCTAGCAAGTCCAAGCTAGCGTTAGCCAGGAGCTGCTAACTAACCTTCAATAGTGCACGGCTTATTAGCTTGCAGGCTAACGACCGTTAGCTGCCTCTCCAGTGATAGTAAAGGGTCAAGGTGCAGGTACACACACTGGCAGCTTTCTGGTTTACCACAACAAATATTCTAGCTAGCATTGGTAGTTTTCTCAAACACGTAGCCTCAGTTACATCTCAACTGCCCCCTTGCTAACTCCTGACTAATGTAGCTTTTTTATCATAACCGCTAGCTGGTTAGCTCCTAAAACACAGAAGCGTTTTGACACAGACGTCCTCTCACACCATTAATATGAAGTATTCAAATCGGCCCTGTCTCTTTAAGGCCACCACCTCCCTGCCTAAAGTATCTATTAAGATATGATATCGGTTTAATGGAACTTCTTTAGCTCGCTTGTCGCCGCAACGCAGCGACAGCAAGGCCCTCCGCCCGCGCCTCTCGTAGCCCCGCCGCGGACATGAGCGGAGAGACTCGGTTGCCTGGTGAACGCATGATCCCCATCTTTTAATTCTTTCTCCCTCCCGGCCATCTTCCCCACTGCTCCTTCGCCATAACAACCGCCGCGGAGTCTCTCACCTCGGCCCCGTGTCCCCCTTTTCGGTCTCTCTCGTCGCTGCTGCCGACTCTCGGTTCTCTGACTCCAAAATGGCGGTTTGAGGCGCCGAGCGAGTCTGTGAGCTTTGAGTCGGCAGCAGCAGCAGAGAGGCGGCCACTTTCTGTTACTGAGAGAGCAGAGACACGACGCCATGGCGAGGGGACAGCAAGGAGCAGGCGCTTTAATCGATCGCAGAGAGAGGGACGCCAGCCCGTCGGTGTCTCCGAGGACGTGACGGTGACCAAAAAAAATCCCCAGTGCATCTTTCGGTATTAAAAAAGACACGCCACCGCCGCGTGTGAAGTTTCTGCAGGTAAATGTGTAAATACTACAAACACATCGATGCACTTCCGATGTCGATTGATTGAGTCTGGTCACTGCGAAGATTACCGAGCTACGTCTTACGTCACCAGAAGGGAACTCCGTTTTTGGTAAGGTGAGGCAGCGAAGATTTAATGTGTTACTATGACAATGAGTTTTTAAAAATTGTAAAATATGTTTTTAATTTTTTTAAATTTATTTTTTGGTAAATTACTTATTCCTAAATACAAGCTTTTAAGTACTCAATAATTTCCCCTCCTTTTATGGTCAATTCTATACATTTTCCAAACAATAAAAAAAAACCTGTTCTTAGAATGTCACAGAAGCATTTTTGTTGAAAGTCGAATGAATTTATTTGCTAATGCCATGATGTTTATTTATTGTATTAGTATAATGTTAGGATCTTGAAACCATAGGGGCCCACAAGTCTTTAAAACATATCCTTTTAATTGCACTATTTTTGTATACTATTCTAAAATTGATTTCAATTGTCAACAGCGAGCTCCAGAAACATCTAAAAATTCCATCCTTATTTTTATGCATACATCTATGTATACTGATGGTTGTGATGATGCTGTGCTACACACTAAATAAGCAGGCTGATCTCCACCAGTGATCTGCTTCCTGACAAACCTCGATCACCTGTATTGATTTCTCTCAGTGCAGCTTAGACGTAAAGCGATTTGTTAAATATTTATTACACGTTAAACAAACAGAACAAACAGTCCATTCAAACTGACCAGCTTTAATGCGCCACAGTTAAACTGCGAAAGAGTTTACACACGAAACAAGAGTTGATCTTCTCCAGTTTGACTGCTCGATGAACACAGAACTGCGGAGACTGAACAGAGATAAGGACAGTGCATGTTGTGTTATCAATGAATCCAAACAAGTGCATAACCTAATGCAGTTAATAGATAAAGTAGGTATAGTGCAGTTCTACCCTTTCTACTGTCATAATCAGAGGTTCAGGCACATGTATGAAGCGTACAGCTCTGGCAATATCTGACATCACCACAGATTACTCCCCACACTTCCATTTCTCATTCAAAGTGCAAAGGTCTTCAAATCAGCTCCAAATACTGAGGACAAAATAAGTGTATTCTGTGAACAACTGAAGCTGATACAAGTTTTCAGCAGTAGGCACTACCAACAGGTGATCAGGTGACAATCCACCTGGACGACGTACGTTCACTGACACATGGATGGGAAGCGGTCGTGTCTCTTTTTCACATCAGAGAAAGTCTTCATTCATAGCCAGCTGGATTTCTCCTCCTCGAACTTCTGCGGGTCGATGAAAGGCTTGTCGATGGTTTTGATCATGAGTTCGCCGCAGTAAACGCACTCAGACGCAATGAGGTCGTCAATGTCCGATTTAATCTGCTCGCGGCTCGTGCCCGCGTTGCCCTTTCCCAGGCTGGAAGTGTCTCCCTCGTCCTTCGCCGCCGGACGGTGGCGCGATTTGGACGATTGCGTGGTTGCGGCCAGTTTTTTCTGCAGCTCCTCCAGACGGCTCTGCCTGTAGGCCGACAGGTGAGGGGTCACCTCCTGCAAGGTGGAAGGAAAGAGGAATTAATACCACATAACAGCTGGCGTTTCAGGGATTTATCTTTTGCAGCAGGTTTTAAACAAGAGTTGTTGTTTTCTTCATAAGTTATTTTCATGAATAACTTCTGAACTCCAAAACCCACAGGTAAGTTCCAAAGACATGTTATCTTAAAAAAGCAGTCCTACAATGACAGCATTTATCAGCCATAAACTGTAAAAACAAAGAATGGCCGGATTTTCAACTTGTCAATGGTCCCTGAACTACTCATCTGTGATGCGCTCTTCTGTCTGGAAAATTAAGCAAATCTAAGTTTCAAATTACGCTATCTTATTAAACTCGCTTTCTTGTGCAAGCCCTTTTTAAAATGGCACCAAACCCAAATGGCTTGCTCTAATCAGACTGTGTCGAAAACAAAAAAATTCTGCGGTCTGCGTCGCAACTGAGAAGCCTTTAATAACTCAGCTGTCACCAACAGCCACATGACAAAAACTCTGAGAGTTTTTCAGCCGACTGCAGGATGTGGTTACAAGAAGCAGAGAGGAGGCAAGTAAAGAAGACAAATTAAAAATAGAAGGAAAATGTCTGTATGTAGATCCACCATTTTGTTTAATGTTGGTAACACGTGTGCATATTCTAGCTACACTTTTTTCCATTTATGCAAAACATTTAATGAAATTTCATTTTCTTTTGTCTTTTTTATGATTTATGATGGTATAACTGTGTCATACTGCACAGAAGACATTTCTGAGCTCCCTCTCCTTCTCGTCGTGCTTGTTCCGTTCCCATAGAGCTGCAGGACTTTATATTGCGGTGAAAAATGAGGCCACAGTGAGGAAAATGCAGCAGCAGCAAAAACCACATCGGAGTTCAAGGGGGTGAATCACCGAGGTGTAAAAAAAATCTCAAGCGTGTACTGACATTTCACAACTACTACTCTCATGTTATCACTCAGAAAACCAGCGTGGAAGTCGTCCCGGCGACGAGTTACCTGGAACAGGCAGTCGTAGTGGAACATGTGTCCACACAGGAACAGATAAAAGGGCCTGTTGAGCAGCGGGAAGTCACAAGCTGCACACTTCTCCTGGGAATCCACCACGCCGTACTTGTTCCTCATTTCCTGGATGTCTTCTCGGATGCGTTTGGCGCTCTCCGTGGCCTCCTCCATCTCTTGCTTCAGCTCTTCGATGTGCTTGTTGTACTCCTCCAGAGAGCTGCAGATGGCCTCCTGAGAAACCATCATGAACAGAGGATTTGGGAAAAAAAAAACATAATGAACCAAAGAAAATCTTGGTCAACTGGAATGCTACCTACGTTTCCACCAATCGATTGGTCACTGGGGAAAAAATGTGTGCGTGACTGCAGCCATATTAGCGTGAATGAATTACAAATCAACATAAATAGCTACTATATGCAGCATATTAAGTCGTTTACATTTGGCTTGTGTGTACTGAAGCGTGTCCATAATCACATGATTTCTGTAAATAGAACACTAACTGGCGATCGCAGCACAAACTGAGGAATGAAACACAGACAAGTAGCTGCTGTTCTCATTTGAGCCGACACTGTTGTTTAAACTCCAGTTTTCGTCGAACAGTTTCAACGAAATGGAGCCACACTAACGATATCTTTGACATGTTGTAAGCTAGCATTCCACAAATGTTGGAGGTATTTCAATACGCGGTGTCAGTGAAGGACTGCAGACGTCTTGAAAGTCAATCATTCTCGCTACAGACCTTGAAGTGGTCGATGGTGACAAAGTCCGGAAAGAAAGGCAGGATGTCTTCGATCTTGAGCAGGTTGCAGCTGGACAAGCAGTTCATGGCTTTCTTCACATCCTTCTCCTCCTGCACCACGTGCCTGGCGATCTTCAGCCACAGCTTCTTCCTGATCTCCTCGTCATCCTCAGGAAGGTCGGCGCACGACTTGGCTAAATCTACGTCCACCTGTGGACGGGAGAAACACAGAAAACACCTGCATGACAAGCTGAAGAATTGTAATGCTGTGAAAACCGATACCAGAGATGATTTTGAATAAGTCCTGTGATAAACCCTCTGAACTTTTTGGGGCATCTTTTGCTCCTGTTACAGTTTTTTTTTCCTCGGTGTAGGTTCAATTTTCAATGCAGTAAAAAGTCCTGAACCTCCATGGAAGCAGAGCAACCATGACCAGTACAACGCAGTTAGAATGTCATATATCATGGTTAACAAATTTAAAAAACCTGACATCAACATGTACAATTATTATATTTTCAGTGCCGACTGCTGTTACCAATACTAGAAAAAATGGTGGCTCTACATACTACAGATATTTAACTATTCATATTATTAGAGTCTCAACAAACTCTGACCACTTGCTCCTCTGTGTACCACTTCTGAGCCACGCTGTATTTATTTTATTGTTCCAGTATGCTTGATTTGGAAACACAGCCAGTATTTGTCTGAATATTTCTCACCTTTTAGTTTGAGTCACTCATGGCTTCTTGTAGTGCAGAATGTTTTTTTTTTTTTAGAGAATCTTTATTTTTGGTTAATTTCTAAGTAATTTAAACAAAACATCACATCATTAATCTTATTTTAGGTACTTTTCCCACAAATTTTTTCGTGGAAAGTTGAAAATCTGACAATTCTTTCTGTTTTTACAGTTTCTGGCTCTGATAAATGGTGTAATTTTGGTGATACTTTAAAAGATAAAATGGCTTTTTAAGCAGCTGGTGGGTTTTGCAGTGCAGAGGGTCAAACAGCATTTATTTACATGCACGTACTTGTAAGGCCAGGTCCACCGCCTCCTCGTACAGCTCCATAATCCTGTACACCAGCACACAGGCCCGCAGGTAGCCGTGCTCGGCACACAACCTGAGGGCATACTTCAGGTCGTAGTGGATCTCTGAGGCGTGCGTTCCCGCCTGCTCCAGATACGACAGCAGAGAGTCGGCCCTGTACTTTGCGTAAAGCGACAACAGGTAGTTATGTATCGCCTCCTCCGTCACATTCAGCTCGTACACGCAGAACTCCATGTAGCGGATGGTTTCGCTGATCTGCTGCGTGCTGCCCATCTGGCTGTAGTTCATCAGGGCTGGGATCAGCTTCTTGGGATCCAGCCTCTTGCCCATCTGAATCCACGCGTCCACCACGTTTTTGGGGATGTGCTGCATGAGGACGGGGGAGAACTTGTAGAAAAGCTTCTCGTCGCAGTGCTTGGCGAGCA